TTGTGTGTGTGTGTGTGTGTGTGTGTGTGTGTGTGTGTGTTGGGGTAGTGTGCGTGGGAGACTGGGTGTGGGTTGGGAGAGTGTGCATTTGTTGGAGTGGCGTGTGAGAGAGACTGTGCGCGTGTGTGTGTTGGGGGGAATGTGTGTGTTGTGGGTATCATGTGAGGGAGACTGTGCACATGAGTTGGGGGGAGTGCGTGGGAGACTGTACGTGTGTGTTGGGAGTGTGTGTGGGAGACTGCACGTTCCCGAGTGAGTGTGTCTGCACGCTGTCTCTTTAAGCCGAGTATTCAGGAGCCTGACGCTTGTTCAGCGCCACAGCAGCTCCCACGCCTGAGCCAGAGACACCAGCAAACAGGCTCCTTGCCCCCCACCCCAGCTCAGTGGAGACCTACTCAGGTACGGCCACCTCTAGCATCAGGCAAGTTCCCCCAGCGTCCAGCCAGCTTCCCAAAAAAGGGGAGACTTAAGTGTAAACATGGGGCTCGCAGCCTCTGGACTGCCGGCTGCTGAGGAGCTGTGTCACATCTCTGGCCAAGGCTAGCATCAGCAGAGGAGTTGACTGTGCAAATCTCTGCAGCGCAGCCAGGGCTGCAAATCTGTCAGGGGATCCCTGAGCGCAAAGGGACTGAATGGAAGAAGATGATGATTTTCCTCCAGTCTAGCCCAGCGGCTAAAGCCTCCTCTCTGCAGATCAGGTGTGTGTGAGGTCTTCAGGTACCAGTCCGTTTCCCCTGGCCGCTGCTGCTTGCAGGCTGGGGTGAACCGCAGGGGGAAGTGAGAGCAAGTGAATCTGGGGAAGGAGAAGTGAGTGTGTCTGCTGTTGGAAGCCTGGCCAGCAGCCACAGCTCTTTCCGCTGTGCCTTCAAAGCTGGGCGGCCGGAGAGCAGCGGCTCCTGGCCGGGTGCCCAACTCTGAAGGAACCGCCACAACCAGAAGCTGGGAGAGGTGGCTACTGGGTGGGGGCTAAGGCAAATTTTGGGATGGCTATAGCCCCCACAAGCCCCCTCAAGTACCGCCCCTGTGAATAACTCAGCATGTCCTTGTCCCATGCTGCCTTAATAAATGGGGAACTCTGGGCATCTGTCTTACCCATCTACAGTACATGAAAGGTATATTTCTTACTGTTTCCTTCAGTAATTTGCCTTTAGCAGCCCTTCAACAAGGGAATTCATTTTTCTAGACTCTGATCTTTCATGATCTTCACTGTGCTCTTTCTGTTCTGACCTCCTTTTGCTCACTAGCACTCTAGATCACGCCCCAGGATTTCCTGCACAATCCTGTGCTCTCTTAGTTATATTAGCAACAGA